GACCTTAACAAGTCCGTGCCAGTGAAGAACCTGGGAGAGTTGAGATGGTATTCTGGGTGCTTTTACGAGAGGAATAAGGAGACCGGTAGGTTGACGATTTCTCAGCAGACTTTCACGGACGAGCTAGCAGCAGAATATGGAGTAGTGGGAGGTAGGAGCGTTCCGATGTCTTCGGGTGTGAAGCTTTCTGATTTTGATGCGGATGAGGTGGCGACAGACTTTCCGTTTCGTGAGCTGGTAGGATCGTTGATGTGGCTGGCGACTCAGACTAGACCAGACATTGCGAATGCAGTAAGGGCAGTAGCTAGGTATTGCGCATCTCCGAAGCTGGTACACTGGAATGCAGCGATGGATATTTTAGGCTATGCGAGGAGGACGAGTCACTTTGGTATTTCGTTTCAGAGAGGTACGGTAGAGGGATTCAGCTTGCAGGGATACGCTGATGCGGACTTTGCAAGCAAGGCAGCAGACCGTAGGTCGGTATCAGGGGGGATCGTGACGTGTGGAGGAGGCGCTGTGTCTTGGTTTTCCAGAACGCAAAAGTGCGTCACGCTGTCGACGACAGAAGCGGAGTACGTCGCGCTAGGCGACGTAGTGAAGGAGATTTTATTTTTGAGGCAGATTTGGCGTTTCATGTTGCCGCAGGTCGGCATGCCGTGCATCCCCGTCTTCGAGGACAACCAGGGGGCGATTCAACTAGCGCAGAACCCCATCTCGAACTCGAACTCGAAGCACATAGATGTAAGGAACCATTTTCTTAGAGAACTGGTAGAGAGGAAGGAAATTTCGGTCATTCACGTGCCGTCGCTGTACCAGCGTGCAGACTTCCTTACGAAGAGTTTGTCGAAGGATGCTTTCGAGTCTCACCGTGATTTTGTGATGAATTTGGCATGAACATTTTGTTGTTTTTCTGATAGGTTGTGTTTTGGTTTTGTTTTGTTTCTCGTTTTGTTTCCCGTTTCCTTTCATTTCCCGCGCCAAGTATTTGTTACGCGCGATGCATATGCAGCAGTATCTGGTCGTGAGGATCCCAGGGGTACGTGTTGGGCATTTCGTGTGTCGTAGGGTACCACCGGTGCAGTCACGGGGATCCTTTTGGCGTGGTTGGTGCGATGGAGCTTGCGTGCGTGCTGCGCACTTCTTCCCTCTCTCTCTCCACCACCACCACCGTCTCTCTCCAATCAAGTTTCCCTCTCCCACTCTCTCTCCAACTCTCTCTCAACCTCTCTCTCTCGGTCTAACACGGCCGACTACCCAGTGCCCCAAGTAATGTCCAGAACGTGCTTGCTGCACCCCGCGTAGTTTACCTTTCACCCTTTTTTGAGCGAATCAGAGGCATGATATCGCAAGGCGCCATCGCACAAAAACGCTGTGAACCTACGTGAGAATTTCCTTCAATCAGCGTTGTCCATGACATTCATATCGAGGGCTGTATGTGCCAGAAGTCCCGGTCTGAAATCGAGTGCCGAATCCGACACGCGTGTCTCCCTTGTTTGAGCGAATCAGAGGCATGATATCGCAAGGCGCCATCGCACAAAAACGCTGTGAACCTACGTGAGAATTTCCTTCAATCAGCGTTGTCCATGACATTCATATCGAAGGCTGTATGTGCAGAAGTCCCGGTCTGAAATCGAGTGCCGAATCCGACACGCGTGTCTCCCTTGTTTGAGCGAATCAGAGGCATAACATCGCAAGGCGCCATCGCACAAAAAATGTTTCATGGTCAGCTCCGAGGAGGGTCACTCGTCTAGAGAACACATATGTATCTGAAACCAGACTGTGTGGTTTCGGTAGAACGATACGGTAGTCAATGTCTGTGACATCCCAAAACACGTGGTACCATGTCGAAGAAATAGAGCTTCACGGAAACACGGTCTTGACGAAGTTCACTCCTTTATTCTTGCCGATGACATTCGCAGGCAAGGTTTTCGGTGTCCCAAGTTGTAGTTTCAAGCTGTGTCCCGACTACTGCGACATATTCTCTTCATAGGCAGGGCTGTCAGTGACCCAAGTTGCGGTGTCAAACTGAGTCCCGACTTGTTCATAACATGCTGTTTCACTGTCATGTCCCTACGTGAAAATTTGACTCCTTCCTTCTTGTCCTGGACACTCGTATTGAGAGCTGGCTGTGCTGTAGTCCGAGTGTCGCACGTGCACCTTATTTGGTTGATCGAATCGGGGGCATAGCATCGCAGGGCGTCGTTGCGCTAAACATGTTTCACTGTCATCTTCGAGGAGGCTTCCTCGTCGAAGGAACCGATCGAAGGAACCGATGTGCATCAGTACCTAGGTAGCACAACGCTATTGCAAAATGGGGGGGGTGTACTCATAGTCGTGCATGCCGTAGTCTTTAGACCATTGANAAGGGTGTTCGGCATCTTGTGCTTACTTCCTTGCGTACGGATGACAGCTGCGTATGACTTAATTTATTTTCTGGTGCGTTCACTTCCTGAGACAGTGGTAAGTAATGTGTATTACCTCGAGGGTGCTTGACCATTTTATCACACCGTGGTGCGATCATCCCCTATGCGCGGAGTGAGGGTTCTCGACCCCGCACAACATGATTGTTAGACATACTCGCAGCAGTCTCTAGACGTGAGGATCCTCGGGGATACGTGTTGAGAATTTCGTATGTTGATGGGTACCACCGATGCAGATACGGGGACCCTTTTGGCCTTGGTTGCGGTGTTGAAGGCTCGCGCATCTAGCGCACTGCTTTCGCTCTCTCCACCGCTACCGCCGTCTCTCTCCAATCAAGTTTCCTTCTCCAACGCTTTCTCCAACGCCAACGCAATCTCAATCTCTACCTCTCTCTCTCGGCCTAACACGGCCGACTACCCACTGCCCCAACAGACGCCCAACACGGGCTTGCTGCACCCCGCGTAGTTTACCTTTCACACTAGTGCGAATCAGATTCAGATTCTGCGCGCGGTCGTAGTACACCGGGGGGTTGTGCATTCACGCGCAATCGGTGGACTCCCACAACAATAACATCATGCCTACCTCGGAGAATTCCGAAATCGACCTCTCCACCCTCAGCAAAGAAGAGCTGCAACAAGAAGTTCAACGAAGGGTGGACGCCCAACTTGCGAAGGAGAGAGCAGAAATCGCCCCACTGCCAGCAGAACAGCAGTCACCTACCATCGGCGAGCAGTCGCTACGTCCCACACCAGCCGACATACCGCCCACCGGCAACCAGCCTTCACCCTCCAGCCAGGGATCCCAATCATTCAACAATCCCACCAACGTCGCCAACATCGTGGCGCAAGCGGTCAAGGCGACAGCCGAGGCCATGTCTGGACATCAGGGCTTTGCCCACACAGGCACGTTCCGTGTCAACCCTGGCTCTGAGATGGACCCTTGGCTTGGAAGTGTGAAGAAAGAGCAGGATTTGTATACTATGTTTGATGTTTTCGCAGTAAGATGGTGTCGTATTTTCAGGAGGAGGGTGTATATGATGTATTAGGGATCACTGATGTCAAGGTTGGCAAGAGGGGTGTGGATCTAGCAGAGCTAAGGGGCATCTTCGGGACTGATGTGGTGGACAAGTCGTTGAAGTTGTGGAATATTATCATCAGCAAGATT